GTTAATTACCCAGATTTCTTCAGTCTGTTAAAAAATAAACAGAACCACACAACACACGCGATTGTTTTAAGCACAAAGTTTCTGTTTGCGGGGCTGGGGATATAGCTCAGCGGCAAAGCACCTGCCTGGCAAGTGCAAGGTCGTGAGTTCGGTTCCCGGTACAGGAGAAAAACCAAAAAAAAAAAAAAAAAAAAAAAAAAAAAGTTTCTGTTTGCTTTTTCTCCAGCAGTGTCTACAGATGCCAGCTGTCTGCATGACAGTCAGGAGCGGGCTGACGGCCCTGGGGACACGGCCCCTCCTTTCGGGTGCCGCGGAGCGCAGTCCCTCTGTGTCAGGACTGGACGGGCACAGGCTCCGGCCTCACGCTGTCTCAGCACAGACAGGAAGAAGGGCGCCCTGCAAAGCCCAGGCCCCAAGCGTTCTCCCGGAGGTGAGCCCCTGCCCCAGTGCAGGGGCAGCTCCCTCTCATCCGCCTTCGTCTGGCTGAATTCACCTCGCTGTGTGGCCCATGTTACCAGCAACATGTGTTTCGATACGAACCCGAACCCATGCGATCCTCCTCTCAGCCTCCGCATAGCTGGGGCTCCAGGCACTTGCTGGATAAGATCTCCGAAGACAGGAGCTCCGAGAACTGTCCTTGGCCGAGGCAGCTCCCTGGCCCGGCTGAAGCTTGGCTTCTGACCCTGTGTCCTGAGATGCCCTGTGGCCCCGGCATGGCTCTGTCACTGCAGTGAGGAGGGACAAGAACAGGAGGGGCGTGGTCCCCCGCCTGTTGCTGCGGGGCACGGCCCTGTGATGGCCTTGAAGCTCAGCAAGGGCGGGAAAAGTACTGGGGGGCTCACGGAAGTCAGGCTCTCCTCGGCAGCCAAGACTGCGGAGCAGGGAACAGGCGTCCTGGTGTCACGGGACACCCCCATGGTGTGGCTGAGGCAGCCTCTTCCTCCTGGGCCTCCTCCGCCGATGCCCCCCATCTGGAAGATGCGCCGTCAGTGCTCTGTTCCCGGGCTTTCAGGAGCTGAGGGCGACAGACCGGCCAGTCCTGTTCCCACACAAATGTGTTCATCACTGGGTTTTCCTCTCGCGGCTGGGGAAACGTCAGGGCAGTGACTGCGAGGTGGGGCTGCAGAGGCTGGCAGGCCCACATGGCGCCAACCGCTGATGCCATCGTTTCCCCAGGCTTGGCCTCTCGACTTCCAAGTCCGGAAGGAAGAGTCCCAGGACCTCAAGGCCTGGGTCGAGCCGAGCTGCGGTTTCCCTCTTCCCTGCTTGCCCTGCAGGAGCTCCTGGACCCCTGAACCGGGACACCGGGTCCTGCGAGCCACAGCTGCCGTGTGGAAAGGCAACCGCCCAGCCCGGCAGGCTCTGCCCCTGTGGCTCCCCTGCTGCCACCCGCAGCCACACGGAACCGGGAGCCGAGTGCAGGGACATGCGCTCAGCCCCGGGAGGCGCGGGACCTGGTCTCTGCCTCCCAGCCAGACAGGAGACAGAGACCACAGGCAGCAGGATGGAACCTGAGCGGGCAGGCAAGGAGGCCCGGGAGACAGCACAGGGACAGGCCTGCAGGTGGGCAGTGGGGCAGGGGTGGCGTCAGAGGCCACCGGGAACGGCAACCGCATTGTCCATTGTCTCATTTCACGCACCCGCCAAAGTCGCTCAACCACACATACAGAAACCCCCAACTGGGCGACTGCTGAGTGTCTGGCTGGGCACCCCTCAGGGAGGCTGGCAAGCTCTTCTTCATGGTCTGGGTGGACCGCACTGGCCGTGGCCGTGCTGCCAGCCACGGTAGATCTTCACATCTAACACAACATGTCTGTCCTAAACCATCACAGTTGGAACATCTGCTAAGGGGGCAATGAGAAAAAGAAATCAATATCCAGTTTGCAAACAACAGTATGCTAGCCAGACTTTATTAATGTTAGGGGTTTGCAATAGCAGATATCAGGCCACATAACCGCGACAGGGCACTAGTGGCAAACCTCCAGCACTGAAGAATGCATCTCACAACCAGGCTTGGTGGCACATGCCTGCAATCTCATCTCTCTGGAAGGCTGAGGCAGGAGGATTGCAAGTTTGAGGCCAGCCTGGGCAACTTAGTGACTTAGTGAGACCCTGTCTCAAAGTAAAAAATTACAAGAAAAGGACCGGGGGTGTAGCTCATTCCAAAGCCAGTACTCAAAACAATAAGATGATCTGATAATAATACATCTCACAGGCTGCTGATCTGCTGTCCCTTGGGGAAGTGACTCTGGTCTTGGGCAGGAACTTCTGCTGCTCAGGTAGAACTCAGATGAGGCCGCTGCTCACCTCGCGGCCGGGACGCCTCCCGAGAGCCCCCTGGCTGGCCCTGTGCTCACTTGCACATCCTTCCGGTTCCAGCCGCCGGCTCTGTTCTGCACTCAGCAATTCGCCCAAGAGTTTCACAGGTGCTTTTTGCCTGCGGCTCACTCCGTAGACACCGCGTCCCCTCCCCAAACACCTCCTCTTTTTCATCCTACTTTAAAGTCGCCGCAGCGGCCCTGTGCCCAGCGCCTCACCGATCCTATCAGAGTCACCAGGCACAGTCTGCTCCTCCACCCTAACTCAGTGCCACCACCGAATCCGCTTTCTCAAAAACAATGCAGTGTCTTGCTACGTGGCAGGACACAAATGAGCCAGTCACGGGCGACGTGGTGGACCCCGGGTGCTGCCCTGACAGCTGCGAAGGGGAGATGAGCGTTGTCTCGTTCCCGGTTCTTCTGCACTCCTCCACTCCGCCCCTACGCAGGGCTGTCAGCCCAGGTGCAGAAGGCAGGCAGGTGTGGGCCACCTGCCCCGTCAGCTCGCAGGAGAGGGTGTGAGCCCCATACCCAAGACTGCACAAGACCCAGCTCAATCCGGAGGAACTTTGCATAACCTTCTCTTCTGCGTGGCTCGCTAGTCACACCACATGTAAGTATAACATGTACGTACAACCTGAGCCATTCCCCATGTACATATAACTGCACTGATTGCAGAAGCAATTAGCAAAATGGGGAGGTCCACTAATCCAGAGAAGGCCAGATAATTATTTTCAAATATTTGAACAATTGTCACATACAATAAAAGTCAATTTATTAAGCTTTTTCTCCTGAGGTAAGATACAGCTTAGTGGGCTGAAGTTATCGGTGGGTGGATGCGGGTGTAGCTTTCACCGGAGGAGCCAGAGTTTCCTATTAATGCGTTCAGCATGTGCCCTGGAGGTGCTGGAGAGTGAACGCCCACTTTGCAAGGGAAATGGAATAAGACCTTCCCACATGGCAGAGCCCGGGCCAGCACACCTCCTGACTGCTCCTCTCCCCTCCTTCGCCCGCCTTCACGTCCGGGGGCACGGAGGGGTCCTGTGCACCGGGCCACCGCCGCAAATTGCTTGTTAAAATGACGACGAAGAAGGATCTCTTCAGGAAACTGTGACTGATTCTGTAGGGACAGTTTCAAACTTCAGTGAGAGCTCTTGTGCAGTTGTGAAGAAAAGGCACCTATTTGCAGAACCGCCTTCTGACCAGTGTGAAGTGTCCATTCTCGGGGGAAAAGGGGCACGTTATCTAAGAAGCACAGTCTGGGGTTCATGCTCCTGCTGCAGCCATCCACGCTGCTTTTGAGTTTCCCACTTCCCATATGCATTTGAATGAATCATTCCAAGAAAAATTTTGCATCATATAATTTATTTAACTGATAGTAAATAGTAAATGCTGCTTTAAGAAAGGGAAAAAGATTACGAAGGTATCTGAAGTGTCACTCGGGAGCAGCATTTGTCTTCTCTGAAAGATTAAAGAAAGAATGGGCTTGTTTCTCAGGTCTGATTCACAGCAAAGTTTCCTTCTAAGCGACGCAGCCCTTTGTTTTTAGAGGGAAACCTGGTTTCCAGTCCCTCTCCTCAGACGTCACTGCCCTAATACGCTTATTTCCTAACATGCCTGCTTACGACTCATTTGTAAAATAGATGGATTAAATTTTAATCAGATGATGAACTTTTGCAATTAAACTGATGAACACCGCCAAGCCAATCCCTCTTTCTTCCAAGCAGTCTTTCCCGAATGCCCGCTTTCGGTGCCCGAGGAGGCGTGTCCGTCACACCCGGCCCTGGCTTCTCCTCCACCACCCCGGCCAGCTCTCGCCGTGTTGCATGTGTCGGCGACCATGACAGCACTTCTACAAGCCTGCATCTGGACACCGGGCTGTGCCACACGCAGTTCCAGGGAACCATGCCCGTACCCCAACTGTGTTCACATAAACAACGGAGACGGAGGGTGGCAGCGAGACGTGCAGGCCACTTGCCTGTGCGTAGCTGAGTTAGGAAGGACGTCTGTGCCACGTTTGTCAGTGGCAACTTTGGACACCAGAGGGAAAAGCCAGTGACATCTGTATACCTTAGAGTGTGATCTGGCGATATTTCTGGACCTAAACCATCAGGTAAAGCTAGTTTTTGAAATATAAATTAAGATAAACTATAATAAAAATCAGAGAGCCCTCAGGATAAATCACAGAGGAAATCCCCACGGGAGGCATCTACCCTGAAGCTGAACGGGTGGAGATGCGCTGGTACCTGAACACCCGCCATGTGTCACACTGAGCTCATACGAATCTGCTTGGCCTTCCAGCAGCTTCCGGGACCCAGGAGGGGTCCATTTGTCCCCAGCATTCGAACCCAAGATCCCAATTCATGGGCTGTGCAGGCTGCGTCAGGACACTCCTGTCCCTCTGCTGCAGAGGCAGGGGAGTCTCCTGTCCCCGGGTGGGGATGGGCCGGGTCCTTACCACACAGGGTGTGGGAAGAGTGGAGGGGCAGCCACTCTGGAGCTCCGCACCGGGGTGTAGACCCCGACCCTCACCCCTGTGGTGACTGCCTCATGCAGCGCTGCAGGGAGGCAGGGCCACTCTGGGCACCACGGACGGGTCCTGGTGCTGGGAGGATGTGCTGGGAGCCGTGGCCCAGCCGGAGGCCCACAGGACGGGCTGAGCCCCGCCCCGCCCGCACTCACGCTGCAGGCAGTCGGCGTTGAGCAGGTCCTGGCACTTCTCGTGGCACTTGACGCCGCACTCGGAGCAGCGCATGCCCTGGCGCGCGATGCCCCACAGCAGCCCCTCGCACTCGTAGCAGTAGGTGGGCGTGGTGGCCGTCCACACCTCGAAGGCATGCGGTGTGGTGTAGGACATGGGGTAGATCAGCGCCTGCAGGGTCTTCTTGAAGACGTGCATCTTCTGTGGAGAGAAGGCAGCAGGGCTGTCACGGGTGGGAGTTTGTCACATCTGTGTGCCAGCGACTTCAGCCACAGGCCCTCCGCCCTCTCCTCCCCCAGAGCCCCGGGCCGGGCCGGGCTTTGGAACAGAGCGGCTCTGTCTGCAGCCCTCCGGGCCCCGTCAGCTGCTTCTTCCCTGCAGGCTGCCCTCCTAGTCCCCTGGTGACACTGCCCCGTCCTGCTCTGCCGCAAACCCTGCGACCGCAAAGGACCAGCGTCTGCTCGCTCGCTGCCCCAGGACCTCGGCTCCTGGCGGAGTGCCTGCCTTGGGCGGGTTGGGAACGAGTCCCCTGGCTGTGCCAGTCCCAGCCGAACCCTAGTGAAAGTGTGAAGAACGTGGAGAGTGAGCCTGGTGCCGAGCCCGCTCCTCCAGGGACACCCCGCTTGGCATCCTACCCTGACCTCTCCTCCTGCCTACTGCCCGTGCCCTCCGCGGACGCTGCCCACTCTGTCCCCAGGCCGCAGGGACCCATTGCAGCACCAACCACCAGGAGAGAATCTCACCACTCAAGGCCTAGGAGTGCGTGTGGCAGACAAAGGTACACATGGCTGCTCCTCTGTGACGTCTGTGGTGAAGGGAACTAATTGGGTTTCCCAACGAGAAGCCACTGCGGGCTGGAAACATCCACAAGACGATTATCCCAGGGGCCTGGGGTCCCCTCTCACCACGCCCAGTTGGGCCCCGTTAGCAGGGACAAGCGGCCTTTCCCCTTCCCTCCTTTGTGCCCTCGCAGGACCTGCCGCTGCCCCTGGCACACAGGAAGGGTCTACATGTGTGGGTGAAGTGAACTAGCTTTCTACCACCGAGGAGCCTTGCAGTCCTCAGAGAGAGGTCAAGTCTGTAGGAGGAGCCTTCCTCCTTCTCTGCCAGTCCTATCGATGCTGTTACATGAAGATCAGATTCTACACTGACAGCAGATGTGTCCTGAAGCCTTCAGAGCCCTAAACAAACACCAAGTGTGTATGTGGATGGGTGACTTTCAGCAACTAGCGCAGGATGACGGAGGAGCGAGCAGAGTCCCTCCCACGCTTGCACACAGTACACTTACAGCACATACACACGCACACGCACACACATGCACGCACTGCAGGCACATCACAGTGACTTCATATGACATCTGTCATGGGATGTGTGGGTCGAGGCGAGCCCTGCAGCCGTCCAGCTCACCAGGCAGGCTACAGGGAGGCCTCAGTCACCCGTGCCTCACTTCAGGGCTTCTTCCCACAGCGCTTAGAGGCCGGCGGGGCACTGTTTTTCAGTTCCACAGTATGTCCAGCCCTCCTTGCCCTTTGTAGTGCCCACTCACCGGGCATCTCCCCAGGTAGGTCAGTAACACTAACGAGGCCTCATTGGGAGTCAAGCTTTGCTAACAACTTTTCTAAACTTGACTGGCCAGATCCATCGTCACTGCTCCGTTAGGGTCTGGCCAGTGCACCACTCTCTCTTTCTGCTGCAAGCAAGGGAGCATTCTGGCCAATCAGAATCCAGCATTCTGGAATCAGAGCTGGGTGTTGTGGCGCATGCCTGCAGTCCAGCACTTTGGGAGGCTGAGGCAGGACTACCTAAGTTTGCGTTTCTCTTGGGCAACTTCATGATGTAGCAGGGTTCTGTCTTGAAATCAAAAGTAAAAAAGGCCTGGGGATTTGGCTCAGTGCAAAGGGCTTGGGCTCAACTCCCATTACCAAAAACGTAGGGGGAGTTGGGCAAGTGAGGATTAAGGTTATACAGATAGACAAACTGTTATGGTTCTATCTAGACGTCCCCCAACCTCATGTGCTCACGGCTGGGGCCTGGGGAGTGACTGGATTGTGGGGGGAGGTGCCCATCACTGGGTGAGTCCACTGAGGGCTTTAGCTGTGGGGTAAAGCTCGGTGGAAGAGGGCGTCACGTGGGTGTGGCATAAACCGTGTGCCTCCCTCCTCCTGCAGGGTCTCTTTGAGCCCCCTCTGCTTCCTGCCTGGTTTCCAAGAGCTGTTCTTCCCCACCATGCTACCCCGCCTGGAGCCAGCGACTGCAGACTGAAACCTCCGCAAGCTGTGAGCCAATAAACTTCTCCTCCTTTAACTTGTGGATGTCAGGTATTTTGTCCCAGCAAGGAGAAAGTAGCTAAGACACACTGGAACTGTCACTTTTCAGTGAAGACAGCCCCTGGCGAGTAAATCCCCTGGCTTCAGGATGAAGACGTTTTATAGAGAGCTGCTGAGGATTCTTTGAGAATTGGGAGCACATGCTATTCATTTCTGCCTTCCTTCTCCTGGCTGGCGAGGTGGGTCTCGCCGGTGCCACTGCCCTGAACGGGGAGCTCACAACAGCTTCTCAGTCTGCCGCCCAGTCTCCTGCTCTGTGGAGGCTGAGGGTCCAGGGTGCGTGTGAGTGTGCGCACGTGTGTTCCTGTGTATGTGTGTGCATGTTTAATATGGCATTTGTGGTCTAGCTGAACGGCTAAGGACAAAATGAAGTTATCTTGCAATACATCAAGCAGTTTGTTTTTTGTCTTTGTGGTGGCAGAACAATTCTCCTAATGCAGCGCAGAGCTGGGTGGGCATAGAACCGTGTGCTCCTGGACTCAAGAAATGTATGAAACACATGTGGATTTAGAAAGCTGAGTTGGTCCAGGGGTTGCCCCGTGCACCTGAACCTGTTCACACATCCCAGGCGTAAGTAAATGATTGATACAACTCACGTAATCTCTTATGTTTCTTTTCTTTTTACTAAATTAAGTAACACACAGTCCTACAGATCCTCAGGGTACAGTGAGACCTACAAATATAAGTAACACTGGAAAAGTGAACATGCTAGTGAAAATTAATGAATAAAAGCTCTGAATAGAGAGCTGAGAAAATTCACTGAAATGTTTTGTTTGCCTGGTTTTTCCTTTTTTTTTTTGGTTTTTCTCAGGTACCGGGAACCGAACTCACTACCTTGAGCTTGCCAGGCAGATGCTGTGCCCCTGAGCTAAATCCCCAGCCCCTTGTTTGCCCGGTTTTGTTAAAAAGCCATGATCCATTTCATAGAAAGGGAAGCTAAGTGGGAAGATAGGAAACATGGAGAATTTAACAGCATATTGAAAATCAATTGAGTGCGGCATTAAAATAAAGTCCCACTTAAAAGGTACAGATGCTGAACGAAACCATCAGATAACTGAGGAGGAGGAGCGCATGTGCACAGCCCCACAGTAATTTCAGTCCTTCTCCCTCTGTCTTTTTAAGATGTGGTGTTTTTCAAAGCCAGAAATGAAGGTAAACAGCATGTGAGTACATTCCTTACCCCAGCAAAGTGCAAGATAGCATGACGGATCAGTTTTGAAGCTGAGGGAAGCATGTAAGATATTTTTCATTTAGTTAAAAAATATTTAAAAGTGTGTTTCATGGGAAAGAGCCTTGCCTCTCAGAGGAGCGCTGAATCCGGAGGAAGGAGGCACTCGCTTGGCACCAACAGCAGCCTTGCTCACACGCGATCATAAGGAGGATGGGGTGTGTGGGGACTGTGCGGAATGAGACACAGTCAGACCGAGAGGCCCTGGAGAAAGCAAGCAGGAGAAAAGGGCCCGCGACAGCCACGGCAAAGGGAAGGTGGCACTCTTACCAGCGTGGAGATTGTTTTCATTTCTGCCTAGGACAGGGTGCTGCTAGCTGAAGGGCAGACCAGATGGATAGGTTGGACTTGTCATCCACAGAGGGGAGCTCACCTGGGCCAGCAGCCTGGAACCAGACACACTCAGTGCTCAGAATGCTGGGCCCTGCAGCTGCGATCCCACAGCACACAGTGGGAAGGAAAACCACGGTGTCTGCCCTGAACATCTGCGCGCTTCAGTCTTAGGTTCCTAACTGTACAGCAAGGATGTTTTGCAGAGTAGGTGATCTAGAAGGGGCAGGAGGCTCAGTGCAGATTGTGTGAATACACTCTGCAGTTGACAGAAGGCACACGGGCACCTGAGGCTTTTGGTGTGCAGGTCTGGGACCCAGGTCCCCGTGGACACAGAGGGATGACTGTACAGAGTGGGTGGACCCCAGAATGAGCAAGACCTCGTGACCCTGAGGAGGACTTCAGGCCTGAGGAATTTGGCCATCTGAAGGACTTGTATTTAAGTACTTTAAATAAATTTAAACTTTTCAAGTCTTCTACAACTAATTATTTTCTAAAAGATGTGCATTTTCTGATTATAACAGAGTACATCCTCCATGAAAAAACAATTTATCCAATAGGCACCAAAATAAGACATAATACAATTTCATTTTCAAAGTCAGGCAGGGTTGGATGCATGTCTTTCTGGAATTTTTTTTTTCTATGCATGAACAATATATAAAGCTTTTGTAGCTAGAAAAATCAACAGCAGCATTACTTTGACACTGTTTTACTAATTCCAAGAAAGAAGGCAATTTACAGTGTGTGTAAATGCTATTTTAAATTGTTGAAAAGAGAATAAGGGAGGTTTCTCTTTCTCAGCCAAGTTAAGCTATAGATTTCAAAAGGAAGCAAATTTATAATCCAGACAAATATTTGATAAAAATTCTTGCACCAAGATATGAATTGAGGGTGAGTTGCATGGTATATAACTTTCTGCACAGTTAGGGCACCAGTAGGAAATGCATTTACTTTTCTATTTGTATCTCACTGAGGAAACTAAAGTGGGTCAAACAATGAAGCATTCTGGCTTCCTGTGAGGAGCAATGACTAGTGTTTTGTGACCATCAATATTTTAATCCATCAACTGTTAATTATATCAGGAGCAAAGTTGCCTGCCCTGATTTACCTCGTTTTTTCTCTTTTTTCATATTATTGTGCTAATCAATGACCAAACTAATGAATTCTATTTCCCCTTTGTCCCATGGGTTTTCCTCATGGAATTGTATAAATTCTCTACTTCTTATAATCCAAAAAATCACATTCTTATAATTTTGAGAAAAATGTGATGTTTGAGTGGAAGCCTATTTCATGTACTTGATGCAGACATTTTAGGAAAGAAATACATTTACTGTCCGTGGGTATGTGTTTTACTATTTCTGGACAAAAGCATCAGAGATTTACAGAGCAAACAGTGGGTACAGTGTAACCTTTGGAATTTGTTTAAAACCTGAAGACAGAGCAATGCAAGAATAAGTTCCTCAGTATAAAAACAGACACAGCTTTGGTGCTAATTTACTCATCAGAAAAATCATACTTCTAGAGAATAATAATACTCTAGAAAATGAAATCACACTGGTAAGATTTCTGTAGCAGAAAGTACAAGTAAAAGCTAAAAGTCATATGCATATCATTGAAAGATAGTAATTCACATTCAGTTGCACCGTTTCATAGCAAATGCTAAGTATCATTTTCCCAAGTTACTTAGGAAGGACACCAGATGAAGAGGGTGGAGCAGAGGTGAAGAGGCAATGGGCAGGATGTGCTGTCTGTTCAGACACGGAACACACTTCCCGTGGACCACACATGCCAAGCTTTCCCCTGGCTCGACCTGCTGATGAGCATGTGTCTATAGATAATGAAGATGCACACAGTGTGTGACTCCGTACACTGGGGGAGCTTTTGCCATTTCCATGTGGGAAGACTGACTCTTACCTCTTGGGGAAGACACTGAATTTTGATAACTATTCTGGCAGAGGCCATGGAAAAGCAGGAAGAAAGGCTAGAACACTGTTAATGCAAGCCAGGAAGTGGGGTCACTGTCTCCCTCTAGGATGGTACATTCTGTTATGAGAGAGAAAACCCAGGAACACCCTGAAGTCCACAAAGCAAACACAGGAGGAGCATCTTGCAGTAAGAATTTTACAGGAGAGAGAGAAGACACCAACAATAGGATGAAAGCAGGGCAAGTGTTCATGATCATAATGAAGTAAGACCTTGATGGCACTATGGTCGAGATAGAAAATGTCCCCCCAAATTCTTTTGTGTGTGGAAGGTGACTGGATCTCAGGGTGCTGCACTCATGCGTGGATTTATCCATTGACAAGTTTACAACTGAATGTGTGGCTAGGAGGCAGGGCCTGGTTGAGGCTGGTCACTGTGACCGGGAAGGACGCATTGTTGTCCCTGGTTCCTCTTCCCCTCTCTCTCCTTTCTGGATGCCATGGGCTGGGCAGCTCTCCTCCACCATGCCCACATGCCAGGCTACTTCTGCCTTGGAGCCAGTCATGAACTGTATCCTCTAAAACCAGGAGGCAAAATACACCTCTCTTCTTTTAAGCTGTGGGTGGCTGATATTTTTCCCAGCAATGGGAAAGCAGCTAAGAGAGATAGTATTAAATTTGGAAGCTCAGGTAAAGGGGTGAGGGGGTGCAGCTAAGTCCTAAAATGACTGCCTAAAATGCATGAAGCTTTGGATTTAATACCCAGCACTACAAAAGAAGAAAAAAAAAAAAACAAAAACAGAAAACTTTCTGGAACAAATATAAATGAACAACATTGACTCCAGAACAAATGTGTAAAGAACATGGTTACCAGCACCATGGTAAATAAGCTGATTCAGTGGACAAATAGCCACCTTCAAAATAGGCTTCAGTCCAGATGGTCTGAGAGGCCAGTTATGCAGTCCTGTAGGGTACGGCAGCATAATTATGCAAACCATTCCAGAGAAGCTCAAGAAAGGAAGCTCCCAGCACATTTTACAAAGCTAGTTTAAACTCCTTCACAAGTACAAAAACATCACCTATTTTTGCTTATGAATATAGATGAAGAGAGCATATAATTCATAAATGGGTGCCAATCAAGGCCACGAGAGCTTCCTAACTTTGCCTCAGGCCTCACAGTAGCAGACCATGGAGTGAGACCAACTGTGAACCTCAAGCTGGGGAGACAGGGCTGGTCAGCCCGACAAGGCCTTTGGAAAGGAATCTGATGCTTGTGGCCCAGGAGACAGGGAGCCTGCTGCGCCTGGGGCAGCCCTGTGGGTACCTGACACCAGATGCAGAGCCCCTGGCTAGCTTGGTGGCGATGACTAATTAAAATGGCAAGTGCCATCACCTGGCATTTCCCACGTGGCCAGGCCACCAGCCCTCATGTGAGCCAAGTATTTCACGCTGTCCTGTGAAGGGTAACCAGAAAGCCGGTCAGTGCTACAGTGTGGAAATTGTATGTCAGCGTTTGTATTAGTTATGTGTGTGATGGCTGGATGTGATGGCTTGTCAAGAGTGACATTTAGATGCCTGCCACACAGAAGTCATATTTCATTTCCTTTGTGAGACGTAGCTCCGGGGACATGGGCTTTGTGAGTCACAGAGGCGCTAATGTACTCTGATCCTCCATTCAGGACCCAGGGAGAAGTCTGAACTGAACAGCAAAGTGATGTCTTAAGTGACTGGAGGCTGATCAATAACTCATTTACACACAAAGCGAGGAGGTGGTCCCTGTTCAGGGCCTCGGAAAATGTAGCTGAATTTCTATAATTTCCTTTGCTCTCCTATTCAGTTTTCACAGCAAAGAATGGTCACAGTTCAAACCAAATGCCGCACTTTAAAGCTTCAGAAGGAGCATGGGAGTTTAAAAATCCTTTCACTGGGGTGATCGCATCCACAGCCTTCTCACACCCTGAAGATGTCTCTCTTCTCTGCTGTCCAAACCATCCCCAAGATGCCACATGGTCCCATGGGTCTGCACAGGACCAGGACCCTGGTGGCCACACAGAAGGTGTGTCAACTTCCCACAGCCCCTGGTACTCAATAGTGCGTTCAAGGATAGCAGTCTTCTCCCCCTTGCACACTTGTGTGGTCCATGCATGCAGGGTCAGGGACATGCTGGCAGAAAGAACAAGGAAAAGCTGACTTTTGAAAGGAAGAGGACAAGGACAGGAAGAAGAGAATGAGAAATGCAGGTGTAGATAGGTCAGGTGTATGGGAAGGAAGACAAGGGTGCAGTACTGGCAGAACTTCTGGTCTCCGAGAATGAGAAAGGTGCTAATATCAGGCAAGGTGGTAGTATGAGTTCTCAGGAGGAGGACACAGATAAGTGATCTCCATTCTGCCCCTGCGGGGACTACAGGGTGAGGGTTGCCAGGGCATAAACCCTGGCAGCTTAAGCTCTGGTAGCTGGACTGTGCCCAAAGCCAATTAAATCAGTGCCGCTGGGTGCAGGACCCATAACCGTGAGTCTGCGAGCTCCCCAGGGCCTGAAGAGCTGAGTTTAAGAGTCAGTGACCTGGATATCTGCAGCTGACTTGTCTTTTAATCAAGCAAGTTCCTTCATCCGCGAGTTTGCAAAGCATCTACCTCATGTCCGGCTGCATGCTAAGCAGCAGAGGTGAGATCGAGAAGGACCCTGAGATACGGAGTAGCCCAGGGGGACGGGCTGGGAAAAAGGAGCAAATTAATTATGATAAAAATGAAGGCAGTACTTCACAGGGCGTTTACTACACCTTGGGCTCTGCCGGGAGTAAAGCCTGCATCCTTCTTCGCCACCGCGTGGGCTTGGCAGAGTAACGGTGCTGACTCCGTGACAGTGTCACTCATACCCACACTACCGGGGCCTCCATCAAATGCTGTCCACACCCAGAGAGGAGACGGACAACGCAGGAAAGGGGTGTCTGGGGAAAGCTTCACAAACCTGGACCTCAACCTCTAAGTTAGACCACCCCAAAGTGTAGACCACCCCAAGGGCTTTCTGGGGGGAGAGTAATGGTAGTTGACGTCAGGGCAGGTGAGTGTTTTTCAAGATGAGGGGTGAGGGTGGATTTGAAGCAAGGATGGTGACTGGTGTGAGCACAAGATGAAGCCCCAGGAGCGCCAGGAGTCAGTGCTCCCAAGCACCCAGATACTCCCGGAATGGTGGAAAGAACTCAGCACGGCGGTCAGCGACAGCCTGCACCTACCAGCTCCTCGTTGTTTAGTGAAGTCCTGATGACCATAGCAAGGGAGAGGCCGGACTTCCGCGCAGCCAGGGTCTGCGACACAGAGAATCGAGATGCATTAGCATGGAGGAGGTGGTCCCATCCACACTGCTCAGCAGAGGGTGAAGGTAGGAGTGGTGGCTACTGCTCTTCCCACAGTAGTAGACAAGGCCCTGCATGTCCGGTCGTCAGCACCCAGGACACGGCCTCAGAGAACTTGGGACCAGAAAGGATCCTGATGGTCAGACCCAGCCGACACTTTATAGGTGATAAAGCCAAGGCCTAAGAAGCAAGGTGACTGCCCAGGCTTCCAGGCCCGAGGGAGGCTTCCACAGCCTGTTACCCCAAGGTCCTCAGCCTGGCTTGTGGGGTGGCCTGTGGGTGTTTCCCTAGAACCTTCCCCCACATCTAGCCAGACACTCTCTGCCCATCACCCATTCACGTGCTGAGAACATTAGACCCAGGTTCATCTCTTCACTGGAGGCTGGGAATGTACGCGATCTTACCTGGCAGCCATCATTTCCACACCTGTGAAATGGGACCTCGCCACTCCCTCCCCTCAGCATGCATGGTGTCGGAGCCCCAGCTGTGCTCCAGGGAGCTCCAGGGCTGAGAAGTTCCGAACAGGAAAGTGAGGTCTGGGATCCCAGTGGGAGCAAAGGGAAGTCACGGTGGACTACGCATTGCTGACCACCCCACCTGGCGTCTGCTCTTAAGCGCCTTCCCGGGGGTAGGAAGCCATGCACACAGATAGCGCTTTGCACATTTCCAAGTCAGCAAGCTGCCAGCCCCCAGCATCCCTATCGTGTCAGCTCATAGAAGACTTTCTTCCAGGGTTTACCCAAGACAAGCCTTCATCTCAGACAGCTGCCTCTGAACGTACGCTTGCGCTCTCTCTCAATCTGAGTTTGTACCAGTGAGGACACAACATAGTTCCTCAGAATCAAAATAGATGTGAAGTTGTCTCAGCGCCCAGCCTTCCATTCCTGCATGCATCTATCTTTTTATGTCCGCATCTTGCTCCCTTCTAGCCCATGGATAAGGAAATTATATGTTTGGGAAGGTCAGCAAATAGCAAGCAAATTGCACAGCACTTACCATGGCCTGAAGATCCCGAAGTGAAAGGAAAACAAAGTTTAAATCATTAAACAATGAAGGTAGAAGAACAGAACCAGGTTAAGTTCGTTTATCACTTCACGGTGAGGTGTACTACACTGAGGGGAATCCAAGCCGATCGTACCGAATCATCACGCTTTCCGGCAGAAGGACTTTCCAGGCAAAGTTTTGTTTTAAACCTACAGTAGTGCCCTCAGGTGACCATTTCCATCGCAAAATTAAAATTTGCTGGTATAAAACTAAGCAGCTTGTTGCTAAAAGAGAAAGTTATGTTTCTTTGGCAGAAAATACACTTTTCATATAATAAACCACCAAGAATCCTACATACCCATAGGAAAAAAAAATTGTGGTATTTTGAATGATAGAAATGTTTTCCCTGTGGATGGGCTTTCTCTTCTTTTCCTTTTTAAACAGTTGGGCATAGACCACCACCCCACTGTTCACGCTTAGCATTTCTGGGTAATTCCCAGTATATTTGATTATAGGAGAATGAGTGATTTAAAATCACACTGAGGACTAATAAAATTTTAATGACTTGGGCACTATGGTTTTCTTGAGAAAGTAGGACCTATTAATTTGGCTGGAATCAATCTTAGTATAATAAAGGACCAATTAATATTGCCTGCTTCCTTCGTAGAGTGCTCAAGTCTCCTCTGCTGAGGGAGGTGTTTTGAACCCAGCCCTAAACCTTACAGGTTCACCCAGCCAGACTCTCCAAGCCCAGCCCAGGAGCTCGTCTGGCTGCTGTGGGAGTCCCCGGCTTCATTGTGAAGCCACTGTAACTCAATTTGTAATTTCAACTAATACCAAAAGTGGCCAGAGGATGAGAGCCATTTCTTCCATCAAATACACTTTAAAGAAACAATAAATGTAACACTTGGCAGCACCTGGCCTCATATATTTTAGTCAATGAAATATTTATGGCTAGGTAGCTAATGAGAAGGACATTATGCTTTAATAGAGAAAAAGTCAATACATGCACTTAGAAAGAATTACCCAGGAGTGACTTACCACATCACGAACAATCGGCAACGTTTTCTTCCTGCGGAGGTCAGGCATGCTGTCGATGCCGTACAGTCCCCACCCAGCCCTGGAGGGGAGAGAGCGATCATTTCAGTGGTAGAAATGACTGCACACAAGGAGAGACCTCACTGTTTACCACGCAGGCTTTCAAAGATGAAATACAGAGCACAAGCGTGGCCCAGCGATGGGCCATCCGCTGTCAGTGCGGGAAAGGAGAGTCAACGTGGTTAGGTGAGTGGAAGCGTCCTCCCCAGCAGGAAACTGAACCGAAGCATTCTTGGTGCAAGTTCGGTCTATCTGCAATGGAAAGTAACTACCTCTTTATAAAATTAACACTCTTCTGTGTGCTGCACCTTCACAGATTCAATCCACAGTGGCCCCTCCAGGAGCCAGGGACAAGTTGAAAACAGTGATTCCCCTCAAATGAAAGGCGTCATTTACCTGAATCTACCCCACAGACAAATGCACAGGCTTAAAATAATTCCTGGTGTGATGGTATCCACTGAAATAGCTTTTGTAGTGACAACAAAAACCAGGTCATCTGAACACTACCTTCACAACCAGCAACATTTTTTCTCATGGGGCCTTCTTAACAGCCATAGCCTTAACCCCAGCATTTGCTTTTGGAATTAAACATTGCTTGGTAATTTTGGGCAAGCCCTAAATTCATCATATGATGCATACAAACAGAAGTTAAAGCAAAATAGTACTAAAGATAAACTGGTAATAGATGAGCAGTAACATGCCATTTAAGGGTTCAGAATCTAGGAGCAAGTGTGTGACGCAGGGGAGGAGGTTAGCCGCTGTGTGTGGAAGGATGACATGGGGAGGAGCAGCTCATTCTCAGCCATGCACTGCAAGGAGAAGCAGCCTCTAGTTTAGCTCAGAGGACAGAGAAAAGTCAAGAGCAATGGAAGAAAAAGAGAGGAGGACGGAAAGAAGCCACAGGAGAGGGGTTGTGGGCGTGGTGAGGCTGAAGAGCCTGTCCAGGACCATGTGGTAAAGATGCTGCCCAAGAGTTGGGCATGGCGTTCACCCATCGGTGCAGCTTCTGGGAGGCTGAGGTGAGCTGGAAGCCAGCCTGGGCCACACAGGAGGACCCTGGCTCAAAAAGAAATCCTTGCACCATCCCTCAGTGCCAGAGTAAGGCCAACAACGAAGGCCAAGGGCTGTGGCAGCCACGCGGGTCAAAGTTGGGAAATTTGGGTCACAAGAAGAAATCCCAGGCAGCATGTTTCTCTCTTCCATCTGCAGGGAGAAACTGCAGGCTGGGAAAGGCAAAGAGAGACCACTGATTCCCTGAACTCCTGTCCGCAAGGAGCACGTGGTCGCTGTGGGAGGAGTTCCTGGCTGCTGTGGAGCCCTTTCCACCCCAGCTCCATCTAACCCCACACTACAGACGAGGAGCCGGGGTTCTCTGCCCAGTCTCACTGCTGCAATCTCAGGCTGTGATTCTGAGAAAGTCTTTCTTTTTATCATCTGTGAAAAGTATTAATAATGGTACAAAGGGTGCATTAATAAATATGCTTCTATTGCACTGCACATCAATCACACTAACCAGCTGTCAACACTGTGAAATGTTTTGACTTCTAAATAACATAATTCCATAGCCATGTAAAGAAACCCATTCAACTGCAATGATTAAGAAAGTGACTTTATAAACTGCAAAGTGTTACAGAAATATATATTTTCTTCCCATCAATAATAATTTATTTCCTATGTTTTCCTTCTTCTCATGGAACTTGGTTCAGATTCTCAAAGTACACCCATAATCTGGTGCCAGCCTTTCTACTCACAGACGTGGGAGTCAGATGCACCCGCGTGTTCTGGGCCTGACTCTCTGCCTTGTGTGAGTCTCCTCACCACACGGACCTCCCAGGTCAGCTCTGAGCATGATGAGGTGTTGGCCCAAGTTACAGGACAGGCATACAAAATTCTCTATCCAATGAAATACAGGTTCAGTTGTTTCCTTCATTTTATAAATAAGGAAATGGAGTCAGAACACTTCAAGTTATCTAAAAGGCATAGCCTGGAAGTGGCTGGGGGCAGGATTTGAACCTATGCCCTACAGCTTACTGTGCCCCACTGCCAGGATGACTGGGTGGTCCCACGGGACACCCCATGCCCATGAGCAGGCACTGATGATGAATCTCACTTTACATTTCATGATGCGGAAGCCAAACAGCTCCTCCAGGCTGAGACCCCACAACCAGAATGTGACGAGCTTGATCTCCACTGCAGGGTTACTGCATCCCAACCCCCGCTGTCACAGGCAAAGTGGTTCTCCCCGGGTGATGGGAGGCCTGGCCTCTTCGGCCCAGGCAGCTGCTATCATCTGATGTGTTTTCGGGGCATTTGAGAGGGTTCTGTCTTCAGGTCGGAAGCCCCAGTCACCTGTTTCTCCATGGAAATGACCCCTGCATGCCTCTCTCTTTTCCAAGGCCCCAGAGCTCCCCTCAGAAGGTGACCAGGCTCACAGTGGCCTAGAGGGGAGGAGAGGGGCAGGAGCAACTCAGGCGTCAGGTGTTGTATAAAACTGGGTGTCATCCTGCAGAGACATGAGCAAGGTGCGTCCTAATTCAACACTTAATCTACTACATAACTTTAAAAATTAATATTAGTTTTAATTGTGAATTCACAGTGTACATTAATGGGGTGCAGTGTGATGTTTTGGCCCATGTGGAATGATCAACTCAAGCTAATTAACATCTCCACCCTCTCATTCATTTATCATATTGGGGGGTGAGGTCTTTAGAATTTACACCATCCACTGAGATAATTTGAAGATTTTTGGTAAGTTTTCTTTTTCTATTTCTTTGTTCTTTTCATAGTAACATTAAAATTAATTTACTGAATTCAATAAATCTGATGCATCTTGACTCAGATTCACTTAAGTACCCTGTTACCAAATAAACACAACATACATTCTCTGAAACACAAATCTGATACAATTTTTATGAAATATGATATAGAGGTAAAGGATATTGCGGCTGATTTTACTAATTTAAGTAAAGGTTAGTTATTATTTTTATTTAAAGCAGAACTGATAACGTGCTGGATATACATGCACATTGGAAAGAACTCCAACATGGTACCAGGAGAGTGGCATGTGAAAACAACTAGGTCAGAGTGTGAAAAATGGTCAGCCACACTAACCACGAGGGACCAGTGAGATGTCCACAGCGAGACACCTCACATTGCTAGAACATCAAAAGGACAATGGCAGCTAGCATTGGTGAGGCAGTGGAGACCTTGCACACCATTGATGGGACAGTGAAATAGTGTAGTCGTTAGCTTCCTCCAAAAGCTAAAAACTACAACTGGAAGATAATCCTGCAATCCACACCAGGTGATATCCACAGAAAGGGAAATTGCTGTGTGCACCCCGATGTTTGTCAGAACCTGAGTCTCAACAGCCGAGTCAACCCATCAGCCTCAGATGGGACCACGGACGAGACCACAGCACATCCTGAGGGTGAGACTGTCCAGGTCCTGAAAAGAAGGGAATCCTGCTATTTGGGACAGCCTGAATGCACAGAAAGATTATGTGAGGTGAATTAAGTCAGGTTCGGAAAGACAAGTACTGCCTGATCTCCTTCAAACGAGGAATGTGCAGCAGCTTGTCCCAGCAAACTTGTAAGGAGAACTGTGATGGCCAGGAGCTGGGTCAGCAACAGGGTCGGGGAGATCAGAGATGTGGGTCCGGGCATAGGAAGCTTGGGTTAGGTAGGAAGAGTGAGTCCTGGAGCTGTGTGGACAGTGTGGCCTGTTTCTAACGGGGAGACACATCTTCTGCAGAAGGAAGACACCAATGGGAGGGGGAGGAGGTAGGCCGAGGAGGAGAAGTAAAACGTGCACCCGCCCACTCCCCACGGTGCGTGCACGCAGACATGGGCTGGCGAAGATGAAACTGCTCAGGGCGACGATCAGCCTTCCCACAAAAGGGAAGGATGACAGGATGCATATGCTAATTAACCTGGTTTCGCATTCTGCAATGTGCATATATTTCAAAACCTTGTGTTGTACACTATAAAGACTTACACTCTTACTGTCACCTTAAAAATAATAAACCGAAGCTGAGGTGATTTAGGGAAGAAATTATGAAGCAGATTTTCAGTATTTCTGAATATAGGACAAAGATATTTTATTTCCACAAATAAACAGTTGATGGCTAATTGGCTAATATTCATGGAACAGCTAATTTGCAGTAGAAATCAGAAAATTTGTAGATTCTGCCTATATCCAAAACAGCTGTTAAATCAACAGAACAATAATTTTAAAGCACCAGTGCGTATTGCTCTGGTTGTGTGTTCCTTGGTCAACTGTTGGCAAAAGCCATGTGCTGAATCCTTTGTAGCAGGACGGAGCATTGAAGCAGTGTAAGAGATTAATAGTGAATCATTCCAAGTCCTTCTCCCTCAATATTGCTGCATTCTCTTCCAAACATCTGAAAAAGTCTACTGCATTTATTTAGTTATTTAATGGTAAACATAAAAGAACCTATTCTTTTGCCTAACATTATTTATTTTATACACACCCAACACAACTTTCTGACCATGAGCTCTACTCATTCACCTGATGACTACTATTATGCAAGGTAGTTTCTTCTGTCCCCCTTTCTGTTCCTGTCAAGACTCAATGAATATTTGTGCCTGTGTAACTGACGATTCATTCTCCGCAGAGAATTCACCACCGACTCCTAAAGATTGTTTGATTCCATATTTTGCCAAATCTAAGACACTGTCTGTTGTAAAATGCAGCATTGTTTTAGGCACTATTGTGGAAAACCCAATTAAATCATAATACTATGACTTCTTAGCAATTAGAATTCAGAGTGCTATAAAGTTGACTTAATCTATGACACCAGTTTCTACCAATTATTAATCATTTTTGTCTATATAAGAGTAGGAAAATTTGGACAAAATTGGTATTTCTTAAGCTTCTTACTCAGGGTCAAATTTTTGAAGTTACTCTTAAATAAGAATTGTCAGTGCTGGGTCTTTTCCAAGCACTGTCTTCTCAGCCACCAAGAGCCCGGTGGGGGTGGTATCAGGCAGCACTGTCGCC